CTTGCTTATAACAAAACACCTGGAACTGGGTGATTTATAAGAAAACAAAATTTATTGCTTACAGTTTCAGAGGCTGGAAGTCCAAAGTCCAGAGAACACATCTGGTGAAGGCCTTCTTTAGTGGTGATTCAATGATGGCAGGGTATCACATTGCAAAAATGGCAGAGCAGAGAGAGACTAGCCTCTCATGTGCACTCCTTTTAAAGCTCTCAGAACCATGCTTCTGACCATCATTATTAATCCATTCACTACAGTGGGGTCCTTACAATCTAATGACCTCTTCAAGGCCCCACCTTTCAATTACCATAATAGTATTTCCTACCCTCAACAGTTACAGTGGGAATTAAGCTTCTGATACATGAACTTTGCAGGACACAATTCAGTCAATCCACAGCCATAAGAGACCTTTATTCTCCTTAATCTCTACCTATTTTGCCCTCAAACCCAAGAATGCTATCTTAAACCACTGTGATTTCAGAAAAAGCCAATCTGACCAGTGTCAAGGGACAAGAGTACAGTGTTGAGCATGTTTCCCTCAGTGCCTAGACCACTTCATCAGGACAGAATCTTGGGCTCATCCACCCTTGGAAGGAGGGAGAACATAAGTGATAGATTTCTTTCCACCTTGACCACCTTACCTGTCCATGAAACAAGAGGTGAAAGGAAGTGGGAAAATGCCCCACTCTGCATGGGTGCAAGAAGAGGCAAGACGATGGCTTAGACCTACTCTGAAAAGTCTGGCTCTTTAAGGAAATGGCAAGAGGCCGTAAGGGAGTCATTACACAATGTGGCAGAAAAACAGGGGACAAAGGAATGATCTTTCATTTGATTAATTAGTAAATGAGACCCATCGAGGGGAACTTATTTGCTTCCATGATACACATGATCAATCTGTGTCCAGAACTAGTCTTTTTGGCTTGCTGGCTAATATGCTTCCTAGTTTGCCATACTTATCTAGTTTCAGTCCAGTGGTCTAATGTGAATTCTGGATTCAGACCTGGAGTTCCAATTCTGGTTCCACCACAGACAGGCTGTGAGATGTGGGCAAGTTTCTTAACTCCAGTTTCCTCATATTATCAAGTGTGGATAACGGTAGAGCCTACTTCACAGTGCTTTGATGATAATTGCCTAAAAATTTTTCTAAAGTTCTCAAAAAAAAAAAAGTGCCTGGCATGTGGTTAGATCTCAATAGATGTTAGCTATGTAATTTTTTTTTGAAGGAGAACATACATTTTATCATATTCAAGGCTTTGATTCTATTATTATTTAGTAAGTGGCATAGTTGAAAATATGAAAACTAACATTTAAGTTTATTCTACTTTTTGAACTCATTCAAGTTGGATAGGTTTATGTCTATAGTAAGTTTATGTGTTCTGATTGGGAATGTTTCATCCTTTGGAGTGTCCTTCTGAAAACTAACATTTAAGTTTATTCTACTTTTTGAACTCATTCAAGTTGGATAGGTTTATGTCTATAGTAAGTTTATGTGTTCTGATTGGGAATGTTTCATCCTTTGGAGTGTCCTTCTGAAAACTAACATTTAAGTTTATTCTACTTTTTGAACTCATTCAAGTTGGATAGGTTTATGTCTATAGTAAGTTTATGTGTTCTGATTGGGAATGTTTCATCCTTTGGAGTGTCCTTCATTTGTGGTAAATACTGCTTTTGGAGTAAAGTTCTTCCAGAATAAAATGCATACTACCTACTTGAGGATTGCTCTAAAAGGATTTCACGTAATGTTTAATGGGACAGGCGGGGATTTCATATCATAAAAGAACAATTGAAAGATGTTATTCTGTAAAGACTTCTGAGTAATATTGAAATAGCACTTTATTCACTTCTTGTCCAGATGCCTCACTGGATGCCTGCCATTTCACAAGTTACCTACCCTTGCCCTGCTACCTTAATACATATTGAGTCCAGGTGGCAGAATATTGGATCTGATTTGCATTCGTATATACTTTGTTTAGATGTTTACTGATTTGCTTTTGACAAATTTAAATAAATAAAATTGATGTTTTTGTAGGATTTTACTTTAGATTGTTGCTCTGTGCAGTGGGCTAGTGTTGAAAAACAATAGCTTTTAAATTGAACTGCTTACAAAGTGATCTGTAAAATTTTGCTTAATGTGTTTCTGTAACTGCTGTGGTGGGTTGGGAATCATCATTTGTTTTTGTAGGCAAGTTAATGGGTTAAAATGGCTGTGGAAACTGCCTTCTAGTAGAATGTTTGAAAAGTGCACTTAACTACTTGCTCAGAGTGTTTAGAATAAAGAATCAGGCAAAGTCATTTACAATCTAGTGTGTTTTTGAGAATATTGAAAAGCAGAGGTTCATAATGAAAGTATTATATCATATGTATAACTGTGTGTGCGTGCATCTGTGTGTTATTAGTTGGTTTTAGTTCAGTGTTCCTATTTATTCTGTGGTTGAAAAGACCATTGTAGAACAAAAAGTGACTAATTTTCTTATTTGCAGTTTTTTCAGTTGTTTCAAATCCTTGGAAGTAGTAGCCATGGACTTATAGTATCAGTGGTGTACAAATGGGAACCATAATAACTTAATTGGGAGAAAGAGAGAGGGGGCTAGAATCTGAAAATATTGGGGTTCCAATTCCACCCAAATGCACAAAAACATTGGCTTTGTCAGTTTTCTAAGCTTTATTTTGTTTATTTTTTTGGTAGCTGGCTGGTATGGGGATCTGAACTATTGACCTTGGTGTTATCAGCACCATGTTTTCACTAAGTGAGCAACTGGCCAGCCCCATATTGAGATTTTCATTGCTAGCATTAAGATTTATTGATTTTAATTTTTTTCAGAGTTGTATTTTAAATGTATGCATTATGAATGTTTAGTGTATTCAAATATTGTTAGTTTAATCTTAGTATATTAATACATACAATCTCTTATAATTCTTTTTGAGGTTGTCTTTTTATGCAGAGGAGAATTACGTGTGTTTTATCGGAAGAAAATTACTTAAAATGGGGTAATAGATTGTGATGTGTCATAGAATTCTAATTTTTATACTACAATATATAATAAAATATTTAAGAAAAATAAATCTAGCATAACTGAAATCTGAAGTTGCTCATATATTCTTATTTAGAGGTACCTTCATTATGGCAAGCAACTTGAATTGCTCCATACTGGAAACTATAATATAACACTCAATTACTATTTTTTAGCCCAATTTAAAATAATAGATTGGGGGCCAGCCCGTGGCTTACTCGGGAGAGTGAGGTGCTGATAACACCACGGCCCCGGGTTCGGATCCCATATAGGGATGGCCGATTGGCTCATCGGGTGAGCGTGGTGCTGACAACACCAAGTCAAGGGTTAAGATCCCCTTACCAGTCATCTTTAAAAAAAAAATAAATAAATAAAATAATAATAATAGATTGGGAGTAAGGTATTAATGCAGTGTAACTTTTGGAACATTAAAACTAACCTCTTTCTTTCCAGAAATCACTATACAGTAAGGGTATCAGTTTTATCACACTGCATGAGTACATTTAGCACTTATACCATTTTTTAAAATTCCTTAAATATAATGATGTCTTCTGTCTTATTAAACTTATTCTAAATATTAATTTAAAGGTGATGCTGTTATAATGTTTGGAAATATATACTTTTTTATTTTATAGCTTTTCTGATGACCTCATTCTGATTCTGGTGAATTTAGGGGTATCTTAATATTTTTGTATTATTTTGTCAAATAGGTATTTTGAAAGAATTTGAGGTGGTAGATACTGTGATAAAATTTTAGCTACACAATGGTTCTTATTCTCACTTTTCTTTTTTAACAGTCATACTATGTATAGCTGTGAAACTATACAGAAAATATTAGGACTTTATTTGAGGAATTATAAAAGGACTTCATGAAAATAGTGTTATCTTTTCTTGGGATGCTGCCTTTTAATGATAGCCATCAGCTTTTTCATTCATTATAAAAAGCAAATTTTCTATGCTGGGTGAAAATGTTCATAGAAACTAATTTACATACCCTCTCAAATTCCTTTTGTAATAGGGGAGGATACAAATAAGCAAATAGCAATAAAACTAATTTGCATACTCTAGAATGTTGGTCTTAATGGTACTGATGGAAGGTTTCCAATTTGTAGCAAAGCAGTGATTTTTAAGAAAACAACTTATATTGAAATATACTTTATTTAAAAAAAATGCCAGAATGCAATATTGGACAATTTTATCCCTGTTTCTTTTGTTGATAAAATAATAGATCAGGACTCATGAATTTATAAGCAGACCTTGAGGATCATGTCTATTTGATACTTCCAGTGCTGTAGGTGCAGATACATAGAGGACAATAACAGTTTTGATTTGCAATTGTGGTCTTTAATAGATCTATTCCTCTTTTATCCATGAGTACTAAAAATGTGGTTTGTGGACGACCTGTCTCAGGAATCATCTGTGGTGCTTGTTAAAACAGATTCCTGGGCACCACCACAGAACCACATTCTTAGAGCTGATACTAGAAACCTGCCTTTTCAGTAAAAACCCTAGATGATTTTTATGAGCATTGAGGTTTGAGAACTGTTGCTCTAGAGCAGGGTTTGGCAAACCTTTTCTAGAAATTGCTAGATAGTCAATATTTTTAGCTTTGAGTGCTTCATTGCAACTACTCACTTCTGCTGTTATAGTACAAAAGCAGCAACAGACAGTACAGAAACAAATGGGTTTGGATAGCCAGATTTGGCCCAAGAATTTGCCACTCTCTGATAGAATCTAGATTCTAGACCATTGGTTTTTATTCCATGACTCTTTTCTCAGGCATTTTCTTTGAAATCAGTTTTAATGAGATTCCCTATTTGTTTATTTTTTGGTAACTGAAGGAAATCCATAAATGTAGGTGCACTTCCTGGATATACATTAAATGAATTGATAGATGTAAAACCTATATAAGCTTTAAAATCTCTTCTATGTTAATATTAAGGAGAGTATGATTATCTTATTTCTAACTATGTAATCTGCTTGAAATATTAGGTTCCCGTGGCTAGAGCAAGTATTCTTTGGCTAATTGGAGAAAACTGTGAACGAGTTCCTGTAATTGCTCCTGATGTTTTGAGGAAGATGGCTAAAAGCTTCACTAATGAAGATGATTTGGTAAAACTGCAGATTTTAAATCTGGCAGCAAAGTTGTATTTAACCAACTCCAAACAGGTAAGAGGCTGATCGTTAGTCAACCTATCTGATATATACTTTCCTCTTTACTCTGATCAAATAGCTAAGTCCTGTTCATGCATTAGTCTGTCCATTAAACAATTACTAGGTGTCTGTTTATTTCAGGTTCTATTGAGATATAATAGAACTCCAGAGGAGTTATTGAAAGTTTGAAGTAGAAGGAGGAGAGAAGACAGAGCAAGTTTCGTAAAGAATTGACTAAGAGGTTGTTTACTATATAGAAAAAGGGGTGGTTTACAGAATAAGGAAAGAGGAGAGCAGAGGGTCAGAGTCATGAAACAGTTGGTGTTTTTAGGAAATTTTTGAAGGTTAGTCGGTAAAAATAGATACTACGGTCTGAAATGGTCTGAATGTTTGTGTCCCCCATCCCCCCCCAAATTTGTATGGTGAGACCTAATCAACAATGTGATGGTATTAGGAGGTGGGGCCTTTGGGAGGTGATTAGTTCATGAGCATGGAGCCCTTATGAAATGTATTTAGTGCCCTTATAAGAGACACCTGCGAGCTAGCTTCTACCATGCGACGGCACCATTGAGAAGGTGCCATGTATGAACTATCAGCCACCAAACATGCAGGTGCTGTGATCTTAGACTTCCCAGCCTCCAAAACTATGAGAAATTTCATAGTTTTGAAATTAAAAATGTTGTTTTAGGCTTCCCAGTCTATGGTATTTTGTTATAGCAGCCCAAGTAGACTAAGACATTAGGCAGTTTGAGGACTTAAGTGGCTTGTGTGCTGTGCTAAGTAGTATGGACCTTGTACTACAAGTGAAAGGGAAACCATTAAAAACTTTTTCATGTTGCTATAATATACCAGATTTGCAGTTTAGAATATTCATTTTTTTAAGTCCATTAACTCTTTGAGCAACTGTTGATAAGAGGAATCATTTTTGCATCTATGTATAAAATAGGGATGACTTCACCCTTTTTTCTGAATCTGAATTGCTATTCTACATGTGTGTAGGACTTACCTGTTTATAAGATTAGAATAGCATTGTTTCTCATTTGCAGTTAAGCCTCTTAGTAGGCTTTATGCTCCATGTCCTATCTCTATTTTTCTCTCTAATTTTCCCTTTCACTCTGACTTTTACTTTTGCCTTTGTGCAGTTTTTTTTTCTGTATTTCCCTCTGTCTGTCTTTGTATTTGTCTGCCTCCCCAAAACTTCCTCTGTCGAGGTATCTTTCTACACCCTCTGCCCCATCCCATTACTGCAGTCCATAGTCTGTGTCTATCATTCTCTCCTTTCTCTTCCATCTCCTTTTGTCCCTCTCTTTTTGTATTTTCAGTGTGTCTCTCTGTATGGGTCTCCCTTTCTATCTGCCTTCTCTGCCTACGCATAGGCCACACTCATTTTCCAGTACACTGTTGTGTGTCATTCAGAATCCCCAGGTTGATTCCTCAAATTTATTTCTGTATACTGTGGGATGTTTTTATCCCTAATTGTGATATAAGTTGTATTATTATAGCTTTTGCTGATTGGTGTACATGATTTATAACCAGATATTTGCAAATATTTTCACGATTCTAGATTTTATCTTTACATCTCAAGTCATCTTTAAAAGGAATCAGTTATCATTTCCAAGTGTCTTATAGATATCTTTATGAAATGAGATATTTATTAAAAACTGAATAAAAGAAAGGAGACCAATGTTTGCTGCATTGTGTTTATTGATAAAACAGAGAGTTTTAGCCTTAAACTCCCTGTGTTCACTAAATCCATGTGGTCTATATATTGAAGGTCAATATAATACCTAGAATATTATGATTTTCTGTCTGGTTTGGGTACTCTAAATATATGTAGCTATGGATTATTAGAAAAGTAATTTAAAAAATTGTACATTAGTCAAGACAGAACAACACTAAATAAAGGTTCTGTCTGTGGCCCTTTTCTTTTCAGTGTAAATTACCAATAATGGAATGTAGTACTCTTTATTTAGAAATTGTAGTGTATTCCATGTCTTTTTATTCAGTGAATTTGATGACAAAATAGTTTGTACTCAGATTATTTTCTTGAACTGTTATTAGTGGAAGTTTTTTTTTTTTTTCCTTTTTGTCTTTGTTCGTGTCTGGCAACGGATCGCAACCCTCAGTGTCGCGCCCGTACCGGACCGGGACCGGCAACGGGATCGCAACCCTCGGTGTTGCTCCCGCGCCTCGCTCAGCCAGTGAGTGGGAACCGGTCTGTATGTGGGATCCGAACCCTCGGGCGGGAGTGCCGCCGCGCTTCCCAAGCGGCGCACTATCCAGTGCGCCACCGGGCCGGCCCCTAAAGAACTGTTTTAAGCACCATCACCTTGATAGCATTTTTTAGTTGTATGCTTCATAACCCATTGGATATGAGACAGGAACTAAAATGATCTCCTCGATCAAAATGTAAAAAAGGTATTTTCAGTACTTATTTTTCTCATTTATAAAACTGAACTAGGGTGACCAGGCCACAGTGTTCAGGGGCTGGTTTACTATGAAGCTCTGATACTTCTTTGTAGACCTGAATTCCCTGTGGTCTAGGTACCTCAGTGAGCATTCCTAGAGTTTTTATTGAATTGTCTAGTTACAGAGAATGTCTAAGTTGATTTTTGTAAGATTTAGTCCATTGTATTTATTTGTATACTTAAAGAATTGAGTAATAAACTTTACTACTTCAAAATATTTTTGCCTGATATAAAAATGAACTTAAAAATTAGTTAACAGTCTGCTTTTAGCATGGCTGAGTAAGGTCCTACTAAACTGACCCTCCCATAGATAACTATGAACTCCGGAAAAATTCAAAAAAAAAACAAACAAATGCCTGAAGACTCAGAAGAATATAGAAAAGCTGAAACATCTGGAGGGGAATGGATGCTTGGAAGAAGTGAGTGGCACAGAGTAATCTCCCCCCCCCCTTTTTTTTGTTTATTTCTTTTCAGTTTAATTTTATTTTTCCCAATTTTTTTTTCCTTTTTGTCTTTTTTTTACTGACCGGTAACGGGATCGCAACCCTCAGTGTTGCGCCCGTACCGGGGACCAGCAACGGGATCGCAACCCTTGGTGTTGCGCCCGCACCGCGCTCAGCCAGTGAGCGGGAACCGGTCTCCACATGGGATCTGAACCCTCGGCGGGAGTGCCGCTGCGCTCCCAAGTGGCACACTCTCCAGTGCGCCACCGGGCCGGCCCATATTTTTCCCATTTTTTATGGCTTTTGTCCTGAGAAAAGGCTACAGTTGGCACTGTGCACAGCAGCTAAAACTCCAGAAGTACACCCAAAGTCCTTCTGGCTTGAGGAAGTAGAGGACAGAGCTCAGGAAAACTAGACATTGGAAAGTTGAGGGATGCTGAAAAGGAGAGAGCCATAGTGAAGGAGCCTCAAAATCTGTGAATAACTCTGCCCAAATTTCTGGCTGACTCCTAAAGCACACATGTACAACGCAGATTCAGAGCAATACAACTAAGAATAAAGAGAGCTGAATTGAAATTTGAGGTGCACCCAAGACAAAGTTTGCACTTTGAACTCCACCAAGTTAATTGCTTGCTAGGATAAACAAAAGTCCAATATTCATTCAAAGAATATAACAGTGTCCTGGGTCTCTACAGTAAAACATTTGTAAAGTCCAAGATGCTATCCAAAATTACTCAACATAAGAAGAACTAGTATGGGGAATTATTTTGTTTAATGGGTATAGAGTTTCAGTTTGGGATATGAAAAAGTTATGGAGATGGTTAGTGGTAGGGGCTGCACAATCCTGTGGATATACTTAATGCTACTGAATTGTACACTTAAAAATGGTTAAAATGGTCAATTTTACTTAAGCACTGTAAAAAAGAAGACCAGGATAATGTGATCAATTTTCAAGAAAAAAAAAAATCAACCAAAAATAATACTGTGATGACCCAGATGTTGGAATTTGAAGGCAAACATTTTGAAGCAACTGTTACCAATATGGTCAGTGATGTAAAGAAAAATGCACTTATAATGACTGAAAAGATAAGAAATCTCAGCAGATAAGTTGAAATCCTAAAAAGAATCAACTGGAGTTTCTAGAACTGAAAAACAAAATCTCTGAACAGTCCACATCTTCTCTGTTTTGAGTATCACATTGTCACCTCTCCCACAGGGTGACGGAGATGCAAAGGATTACTCAAAGCCCATTTCTTCTGAGAAGTGAGAAGCCCTGAAGGGGTTAATTTTCCTGGAACCCTCAAGAGCAAAGCATTCCTTGGAAAAATAACACTGAACTGGAGTCTTCTCTCAGTATTTATTCTCCAGGCCAGAAAGTTACAGAAAAGGAACATAGGTAGTTACAAAAGAACAGTAAGGGGCCGGCCCGGTGGCGCACTGCTACAGTGCGCCGCTTGGGAGCGTGGCGGCGCTCCCGCCGAGGGGTCGGATCCC